GAGTTTTCTGTTCTTGCGAATAATAGTTGCTGAGAATGATAGTTTCAGACTGCATTACAGTGATGTCGGCGAACAATATGTGACATGAACTCATCTTTCTTCTTATCGGCTGCTAGCTATATAACCATCAAGTTGGATATGTCACATTTTCTTATATGTCCATTCTGTCATTTGATGGACAATTGTGGGTTGGTTCCAGTCTTATGACTCCTTTGACCTAGTCCACAATAAACATAAACAGTGTGCATGATGCTTTTATGCAGTCGCATGATCTTGCATAATCCCTTTTGTATTACCCCAGTAATCGTGGTGCGATATGGGGGTCAAGTTGTAAATTTTTTCTAGTCTCCTACGATCCCTTGAGGCAATCGTCCACACTGTCTTCTCAATGTCTTTAGTTTAGTTAGATCCCATTTGTCAATTTTGGCATTTGTTGCCATTGCTTTTGGTGTTTTAGACATGAAGTCCTTGCCCATGCCTGTGTCCTGAATGGTATTGCCTAGATTTTCTTCTAGGATTTTTATGGTTGTAGGTCTAAATTTAAGTCTCTAATCCATCTGGAATTAATTTTTGTATAAGGTGTAAGGAAGGGATCCAGTTTCAGCTTTCTACACATGGCTAGCCAGTATTCCCAGCACCATTTATTAAATAGGGAATCCTTTCCCCATTTCTTGTTTTTGTCAGGTTTGTCAAAGATCAGATGGTTGTAGATGTGTGGTATTACTTCTGAGGGCTCTATTCTGTTCCATTGGTCTGTATCTCTGTTTTGTTACCAATACAATGCTGTTTTGGTTACTGTAGCCTTGTAGTAGAGTTTGATGTCAGGTAGCGCAATGACTCCAGCTTTATTCTTTTGGCTTAGGATTGTCTTGGCAATGCGGGCTCTTTTTTGGTTCCATATGAACTTTAAAGTAGTTTTTTTTTTCAATTATTTAAAGAAAGTCATTGGTAGCTTAATGGGGATGGCATTGAATCTATAAATTACCTTGGGCACTAGGGCAATTTTCACAATATTGATTCTTCCTATCCATGAGTATGGAATGTTCTTCCATTTGTTTGTGTCCTCTTTTATTTCATTGAGCACTGGTTTGTAGCTCTCCTTGAAGAGGTCCTTCACATTCCTTCTAAGTTGGATTCCTAGGTATTTTATTCTCTTTGAAGCAATTGTGAATGGGAGTTCACTCATGATTTTTTTCTCTGTTTGTCTGTTATTGATGTATAAGAATGCTTGTGATTTTTGCACATTGATTTTGTATGAATTTGACAATCATGTGTCTTGGAGTTGCTCTTCTCGAGGAGTATCTTTGTGGCATTATCTATATTTCCTGAATTTGAATGTTGTCCTGCCTTGCTAGGTTGGTGATGTTCTCCTGGATAATATCCTGCAGAGCGTTTTCCAACTTGGTTCCATTCTCCCCGTCAATTTCAGGTACACCAATCAGACGTAGATTTGGTCTTTTCACATAGTCTCATATTTCTTGGAGGCTTTGTTTGTTTCTTTTTACTCTTTTCTCTAAACTTCTCTTCTCACTTTATTTCATTCATTTGATCTTCAATCAGTGATACCCTTTCTTCCAGTTGATTGAATCGGTTACTGAAGCTTGTGCATTTGTCACACAGTTCTCGTGCCATGTTTTTCAGCCCTATCAGGTCATTTAAGGACTTCTCTACATTGGTTATTCTAGTTAGCCATTCGTCTAATCTTTTTTCAAGGTTTTTAGCTTCTTTATGATGGGTTTGAACTTCCTCCTTTAGCTCAGAGAAGTTTGATAGTTTGAAACCTTCTTCTCTCAACTCATCAAAGTCATTCTCTGTCCAGCTTTGTTCCCTTGCTGGTGAGGAGCTGCATTCCTTTGGAGAGGGAGAGGCACTCTGATTTTTAGAATTTTCAGCTTTTCTGCTCTGTTTTTTTCCCCATCTTTGTGGTTTTATCTACGTTTGGTCTTTGATGATGGTGACATACACATGGGGTTTTGGTGTGGATGTCCTTTCTGTTTGTTAGTTTTCATTCTAACAGTCAGGACCTTCAGCTGCAGGTCTGTTGGAGTTTGCTCGAGGTCCACTCCAGACCCTGTTTGCCTGGGTATCAGCAGCGGAGACTGCAGAAGAGTGAATATTGCTGAACAGCAAATGTTGCTGCCTGATTGTTCCTTTGGAAGCTTCATCTCACAGGGGTACCCGGCCATGTGAGGTGTCAATCTGCCCCTACTATGGGGTGCCTCCCAGTTAGGCTACTTGGGGGTCAGGGACCCACTTGAGGAGGCAGTCTGTTCGTTCTCAGATCTCAAACTCCATGCTGGGAGATCCCCTACTCTCTTCAAAGCTGTCAGACAGGGACATTTAAATCTGCAGAGGTTTCTGCTGCCTTTTGTTCGGCTATGCCCTGTCCCCAGAGATGGAGTCTACAGAGGCAGGCAGGCCTCCTTGAGCTGTGGTGGGATCCACCCAGTTCGAGCTTCCCAGATACTTTGTTTACCTACTCAAGCTTCAGTAATGGCAGGTACCCCTACCCCAGCCTCGCTGCTGCCTTGCAGTTAGATCTCAGACTGCTGTGCTAGCAATGAGGGAGGCCCTGGGGGTGTAGGACCCTCCGAGCCAGGCATGGGATATAATCTCCTGGTGTGCCATTTGCTAAGACCCTTGAAAAAGTGCAGTATTAGGGTGGGAGTGACCCAATTTTCCAGTTGTTGTGTGTCACGGTTTTCCTTGGCTAGGAAAGGGAATTCCATCACCCCTTGCACTTCCTGGGTGAGGCAATGCCTCACCCTGCTTCGGCTCTTGCTCGGTGGGCTGCACCCACTGTCCTGCACCCACTGGCCAACACGCCCCAGTGAGATGAACCCGGTACCTCAGTTGGAAATGAAGAAATCACCTATCTTCTGTGTCACTCGTGCTGGGGGTTGTAGCCTGGAGCTGTTCCTGTTTGGCCATCTTGGAGTTTTTTGTTTTTTTTTTTGGTTAAACCTCCAAAGCATTGGCAACAAAAGCAAAACTAGACAAATGAGAAACTTCCATGACAAAAGAAATGATCAGTAGAGTGAAGGGAATGGGTAAAATATGTATAAACTATACATCTCACAAGGGTTTAATATCCAAAATATAGAAGGGATTCAGCTCAATAACAAGGAAACAAAGAACTCAGTTAAGAAACAGGCATAGAACATGAATTTAGATTGTCTAAAAGAAGACATACAAATGGGTGGAAAGTATGACAAAATACTCAATGTCACTAATCACCAGGGAGGTGGATGCAAACAAAACCACAGTGAGATATCGCCTGATACCTGTTAGGATGGCTATTATCTAAAAGGCAAATAGTACCAAGTCTTGGTGAAGATGTAAAGAAAAGGCAACATTTGTACACTGTTCTTGGGAATGTAAAATAGTACAGTGATTATAAAAAACAGTCTGGACATTCCTCAGAAAAATAAAGTAGAATTACCATATGATCTAGCAATCCCACTTCTGGGTATATGTTCAAATCAAGTGATATCAGTATCTTGAAGAGATATCCTCTCTCTCATGTTTGTTGCAGTATTACAATATTCATGATGTAGAATCAACCTAAGTGTTCATTGTCAGATAAATGGATAAAAGAAATGTGCTGTATATATACATATATAAAATGGAATACTATTCAGCCTTAAAATAGAAGGAAAACTCTGTCATTTGTAACAACATGAATGAACCTGGAGGACATTATGCCGAATGAATCAAACCAGGTACAAAAAGACAAACACTGCATGATATGACTTATGTAAGTAATCTAAAAAAGTCATACTTGGACCAGACAAGGTGGCGCACACTTGTAATCCCAGCACTTTGAGAGGCTGAGGTGGGTGGATCACGAGGTCAGGAGATCAAGACTATCCTGGCTAACACGGTGAAACTCCATCTCTACTAAAAATACAAAAAATTAGCCGGACATGGTGGTGGGCGCCTATAGTCCCAGCTACCCCGGAGGCTTAGGCAAGAGAATGGCATGAACCCAGGAAGCAGAGTTTGCAGTGAGCGGAGATCACACCACTGCACTCCAGCCTGGGTGACAGAGCAAGACTGTCTCAAAAAAAAAAAAAAAAAAAAATTCAAACTCGTAGAAACAGGGTAGAATGGTAGTTACAGGTGGGTAAGAAGAAGGGTAATAGATGTTGGTCAAAGTATCCAAACTTTCAGTTACAAGTATATTAGTTCTGAGGATCTGATATACAGCATGGTGATTACAATTAATAATATTGTATTGAATAGTTCAATACAATAATATTGTATTGAAATTTCCTGAGAGGATAGATCTTAAATGTTATTACCATACACACACACGAAGACAACTATGTGAGATGATAAATATGCTTATTAGTTTGATAGTGGTAATCATTTCACAGTATATACATATCAAAACATCATGTTGCACACCATACATATATAAAATTTTTATTTGACAATTATATCTCAAAAAAGCTGGGGAAAAGATAATGAACAAAGTTATTTTACGAAGTGAGAAGATAGCATTATATATCATGGAAATATGTTATTCAATTTAATTATCAAATATTTGACTTCATATACAAGGATCTCTCATTTTGTGAAATATTAAGAATATTTCTTTTTTTTTCAGAAAAAAGTCATTGTACTGTGAAAAACATTATAGATATTCAGAATCAGACAATGTAGGAAGGTGTATCCTACTTTGATCCAAAGATAGATCCAAAGTAGGAAAAAGTTCCTTATAGGTTTCATCAGTGTTCTTTTATTTGGAAGAAAGTGGTCTAAATACTCACTCTTCTTTCAGTGTTCTTATCATTTTAAAATATATTAGAATAATGAGGCCAGCCCAACTATATTTTATCCAATACACTAATCTGGAATCATATTATTTAGGGAGCCATAAGGCCCAATGAAAGAAGGCACTACCTATGTTTTCAAGAGGGGAAAGAAGAAAGTGAGAAGTAATTCAATTAAAGCTTATATATATATATATATATTACAAATGTTATACCATATACCTGACAAGTTCATGGATATTCAGCTTCAGAGATGACTGATATTTCAGTGTCAATTGAAGTCAACAGGACTAGCTTCTCTTCATTTCCCTTGATTCTGCTCTCTTGCATGTAGTGGCTATCAATTGCACCAGCCTACACCTATGCGTATTACTAGAAGAAAAACACCGCCACTCCCATTCAAGTCCAGAATTCTAGAGGCTGGAAACCCTAGGAAGTAAATCCCTAGATCCTCCAGAAAAGAACACAACCTACCACCCCCTAAATTTTGGCCAAAGTCACGTGAACGTCTCACCCACAGAATGGTAAGATAATAAATTTGTTTTGTTTTTTTTTTATTTTATACTTTAAAACATATCACTTTCATCTTATTTTCTTTAAGTAAGTGGTAATTTGTTGTGGCAGCAAGAAAAAAAGAAAGAAAAACCAACACAATAGTATTTTAGTCATTTATAGAGATATAAATTTGTATTGAAATTGGGAGTGGGTGGGTAGGTATGAATGGGAATACTAACAGTCTGGCCATTCATACGATAAATAGGGAGTCATGGGATAGTCACCCACAGCACTCCAGGTCCCTCTCAGCATTCGAATCCTTAGACTTTACTCATAGGATCTCCTTTCGTTGATATTTTCCAAAAGATAACATCAAGAGAAAAAGAAATTAGTTTCAGGAAGAAATAGAAAGTTCAGGGTAAAAATGGTCACTGGTTACTAGCACAGAAAGAGAATCAATGTAAACATCATTCATTCTTACATGCTAGGACATATCCAATGCCTTATCTCATTTAATATTTCCAAAAACATTCAAGAAGGTTGTATTATTCATGCTTTTACTAGTAAATACGGAAACACAGAAAGACTCTTTTACCAATGTTACAAGCTAGTAAAGATTAGAGTCAAGTTTCAAATCCAGATTTTTCTGAATTCAAAATTCTTGCCAGATCTCCTCTACTAGAGCTGCCTTCCAGGGAAACTAAAGTGATGAACTTGTGGCTCCATTTGATGTGATTATGCTTTTTCCTCAGACATGCTCACACCAAACAAGGAGTTAGTATACATGGAGAGGCAGATCTTTTCTAGTGCTTTAGAAATCTCCTTTTTCTCCACTCACAAACCAATCAAATTCACATACCCTCAGCACCATGCTAAGTGCTAAAGACAGGCATCTGAGAGAAAAACAAGGCACATTTTCTTCTTTGAGAGACCCGAAAATATTTGGAGAGACAAGAAAGGGGGGAACTTGAAGAATGTAATTGAACACTAAATAATACCGTGCTATCACCAATATGGCAGATGGATACATATGTAACAAACCTGCACGTTGTGCATATGTACCCTAGAACTTAAAGTATTAAAAAAAATTGAAAAATAAGATAAAAAATGAATCAGTACCGTGAATAATAATAATAATAATAATACTGTGCTATATGTTCCTAGAAGGAAGAAATTAGTGTGATCTGAGAGTTTCAAGAAAGCCTGCACAGAGTGGGAAGGACTCGGCCGACTCAAGGTGAGGCTGAATCCCTGTGGTGCCTTCAGACAAGTGTGGAGCACACTTGCCTGGGAATCAGATGGATACTAAGCACTTGCTAAGTGCAGGGAGGCATTCCCTTGCCCTCAGGGCACTCAAGACACTCACAAACATTGTATGAGTTTGTGACAAACCAGAATTCATCTTGGGATGTGATATGTTTACATCAAGTAATTTACATAAAAATTGGGGAAGAGAGAGTATTATCAATCCTGACGTTGTAGGACAGGTTCATTAGACTCAATATTATGTCATGGTTTGTCCTTTGTTTTTTAATGGTTTCATGCCTGCAAAATTTCAAATTTTGTCAGTTTCATTGTGTTGTTCAAAAAGCACTGACTTGACAATTTCCATGTAAGCTGAAGCCCAGAGACAGGCACCCCTGGGGTTCTGATGACTGAGAAGTAGTGCTTATTGGCAGAAATGAAGGGAATTGGCTAACCTTTATGCCACTCCAGTGTCACTTCCACATCCAGAGGATAATCCTTTGATGGTATGAAATCGATTTTGAATTTGTTCATTTGTAAATTCCCCTGTATAAACATTCAGAAACATCCTCATTGAATTTTACTCACCTAACTTGTGTATATTGGATATATTCAGCATCCTAATCTGAGAGTAGTTAATTTAACATGAAATGTATTTCAGAAAATTGGTCTCTTCGTGCCTGTGGCCCTTACAGACTTCTCCTGTCCATTTCTTGTTTGATGGGTTTGATTCTATTTTTTTTTTTTTTCTAGGGGAACCAACCTTGTTAGTCTGTCAGTTGCCTCTCTTTTCTGCACAGCATCAAATCTAACATCTTCTGCTTTCTCTCATTTGGGATAATTTCACTGAAATACAGCTCATGCTTATTTTTTTATTACCTTGAAAACAAAACAAACAAACAAACAAAAAAACCTGTTGCCCAAGCAGCTCAGCCTGCCCTCCTGAGCCAGCCTTCTTCCCCATGCACTTAGACCTAGAATACATGACATAAGAATGGAAGGTGCCAGTGACATGATGTATTCCCTGTGGGCAGCTATTCTACTTAATTTCCTTATCTAGAAAGACAAGTTTGCAGAAATTTTAGATCAGTCACAGCTAAAGCAGTTTATAGGCAGCCAAAGCCAGAAGGGGTTAAGAACAATCTCTGAAGTCTGATTGGGCAATGGTGCAGGAAAAAATAAAATAAAATAAAAAATAAAAAAACTTACAAAATGTTGAAGGTGTTTAAATTTGTTTAATACATGTCTTTTTCTTTAAGGTAACTGCTTTATATGTGGTTGATGTTTTGAAATTATGCCTATTGAAATGTAAAATAATCAGAATTTTCCTGCCCTATTCTTATTTGAATAAATCTTATTACACATTGCTTTTACCCATGACTAGGTTATTGCAGCGCCGAGTCAATATCATTCACATGATTTGGATTAAATTACAGCAGTGCAGGTCTCTTTTCTTTCTTTTCCTTCTCTCCTGAATATAAACTCACTGTGATTTTTCTTTGGCTGGCATTTGCTCCTTTGACTTTCCCCCATATTCAAGAGATGGTGTATGCTCCAAACACATAACATTATCAACTTTAAGGGCTGCAATTGATTGAATATTTTGACAAATATACCTCTCTAATTCCTGAAGCCATATGGACGTGCAGGATGCCATATGGAATAAAGTACTCTGCCTCATGAAATGATCCAAAAGCATTTTTTTTATTAGCGGTTATTTCCTTGAACTGAAAACTGATTAAATTTTGAATATTCCATCACTGGGGATAGTAATCTAGCCAACTCTGTATTCTTAGCAGCATCTCTGGGGATGGAAGTATACCGCTGAAGTAAAAGTCCTTGACAGGGGTCACCACATTTTTTAAAATGTCAGGGGAAAGGTTACTTCTGTATTATTTGTATATCCATTAAGATGTTTGCTGTAGGAAGCAACAGAAAACCCTCAATTAGCTGTCTTAAAAGTAGGAGGAAATGTGGTTATTTTGTATAACAGGAAGTCTCAGGCATGGCGGTGAAAGGGTTGGTGATATCTGAGGCTCCAGAATGCCAAGAACCAGCACTCTGTCTGCCATGACTCTGTCCTCCCTGCCTGCCGGCTTCATTCTCCGGCTGGCTGCCCTCGTGGTTGTGGGGAGGCTACAGCAATCTGGGCAGGACACACACATGTGGCAGTGTCCAGGGGAAGCTAATTCATCAGCTCCTGCTGACAGTCTCTTTTATAAGAAGAAATTCTCAGAAATCATTCAACAGGAACACCCTCACAACTCCTTCTGTGTGTGTCACGTGCCTGTTCTGACCGTTAGCATGTGCAAGGGAGGTGGGATTCCCTTGACTAGCCTAATGTAGTACGTGGATGCAGAAGAAAGACGTTAGACGACCCCCCCCCCAATTAAACTGGTGGTCTCTTAGAAAGGAAGTTAGAAGCAAGAGCTCAATGTGGAGTCTTGTAACCAACAAAGTTTGCTACATGCTTATAATATTTCCTTGTACTTAAAAAATTGACTTGGCCATTCCACCTCCATGAGATCTACCGAGTAAATTCTTTTACATGGGAGAAATAAGTGGAGTCACCTCCAAAGACCATCAGGAAAATATTTCATTGAAATCTGAGGCTGCCCAGCCATGGATATTTGTCGAAGTCTACCTTTCCAGGACTCCGAGGACTATTTCTTAGAGAAAATCTTACTGAAAATAACTTGTAGTCTTTCTTCTTCATTGCTAAATGGCTGTAGAAGTATTTTCAAACCACTAATCTCTAATCTGCAATTCTATTTCTATTTATAGAATGTAATGCTTTTTTCTTCTACGAAGTATTAATGAAGATGGAAAAGCAAAATGAAGAGCATCTAATCCATTAGCCATTCAGAACTGAAGCTTGTTTCAAAAAAGTAGATACAGAACATCCCATGCAGCTTAGAACATGAATGTCCTGGTTTCATCTTGACCCCATTGAATCAGGAAAGTGGTGTCTTGAGCAGAATCCAGATTTTTTTACTAACATTTGCAAATAGTTTGGACTGGCTTATCTCAGGCAATGAAAGGCCTGTGATGTGGAATTCCTAATGTCTGTGCAAGTTCTTTCTCTGATTTGCTGAGTGAACTACAGCAACTTACTCCATCAGAAACTCAGAGTTCTTATCCATCCAGTGGTGGTGAGTGAAAGTGGTATTCAGTGATTTCTAAAATTTCATTTAACTCTGACTCTGTGATTCTCAGTTGAGTTAAAATAAATTGAATCTCCAAAAAGGTCAGATGAAAGCGAATCATGGTGTCCAACCAAGTCTCAGAGCCATAGCTAATAGTCATTGATATTAAATATTTAACTATAGCTCTTAAGCAAATATTGGACTAGAAATCAAATTTTCAGTGAACTACACTTCACAATTAATAGATTACAACCTGGAATGGATTTCTCAAGCCCATCTTTTCTCAAACATTAAAAGGTTATTGTCTTTTAATATCCCAAATCTGACTTCCTTATTGTTGGCTACAAAGTGTTCTCTGGTAGGAAGTCTAGGTTTTAGAGATAAATATACAAAACAAATAAGAAAAGGCATTAGAGTTTCTCTTTCCTTGTCTAAGATGCCATTGAACTTCAACCTCTAAAATCTAAAGTAACAAAGAGCATTTTGTATAAGTATATGAGAAAAAGAGGCAGTATGTTTATAACCTACTTATGTCATCTGCTCTCAATTTCTCATTCGCAATTCATTTTGATTCATCTTCATCCTAGGTATTGAAATTCTTTTAGCCCATTAACACTCTTTCTTTCAAAGGTCTGTAAATGAACATAATTAAGGAACATATTTTTGTAAGCACTAGCTTCTGAAATATTCATTATTAACCTGCTGGCTACACTTGTCCTTTTTTATATTTATATAATTAATTAAGTCTCTCTCTTCTAATCCATACAATTTCAAAAAAAATATTAATACTCTTCAGGTTTTGACTTGTCTGTTTCTCCTTTCTGCAGTTAAAGGAAATAGTTTTTGTGAATCAGAATTTCTCTCACCTTTCCATTTTCTAGTAGAGTTGAAGCACTTGAGGATAGTGACAGTTGGACCATTTTTCTAGTTTGCTAGAAAAAGAAAAAATGACAATACATTTAGAAGAGCTTGGGGAGAGGAGTAGTTCTAAATATAAATGTTCCATGATAGCAACATATAAGATGCATGGTCCAGATGTCAGCTCTAGGATATTAGTGGGGGCAGGTTAGTGCCAGATCCAAGTAATTTAAATTGCTGCTCTTATATGGCTTTGAATTCTGGCTGATGAGACCCACCTATTAGTTTTTCACAGATGACTTATATAAGAAAGTCTTATACAATTTCCAGATTATAATTTTTCTGTGTTAGAAAACAAATTGCATCAAGGCTAGTAATGAAGTCACATACGAGCCAGGATCCACCAGTGAGCTGCAATTATTTAGTATCAGGATCCTCACAACCTAGAAGACATCCTAAACTATCTAGAGTTACCAAGAAAGAATTGAAAGTTTATTTTAGCTGTTTTTAGTAACAAATTATCTGCCTTTGATATTTTCAACCAAATAAAATAAATATTTTTTAAATGAAAAAGAGAAGTAGAAAACTTGGCACCACTTTTTCAAAGTGTTCCCAGATCTCGAGTCTTCTGAAATGACTAAATTACAATGGAAAATCAATTTCATGCTGGTTTACTCTGCAAAAGGCCTTAACTGGATAGCTAAGAAACATAAAAATTGGAAATGGTCATGGTGACACCAAAAGCTGCAGCTGATTTTCCTGTGTAGGAGTTTCCATATTTATAAAAGTCAGTGAACTTTTACACAGATTTGCTGATTCTAATGAACTGCTTTGACAGAATTAGGTCTGAGAGTGGTTGTCAGAGAGCGATCTGAGGCTACCCACTGAAAGTTAGGCCTCTTGTTTAAAATCTCAAAAATAATATCCATGCTGAGAAAGCAGCTTGACACTGTGCATCTATTGTGTGTCAAAATACTTACAATTTTTTAAAAATTGTATATCTCTAAAAATGCCTGGAAGAGGCTTATGCTCTCTTTCCTTATTCCAGCCAAATGTTCCACCTGGGGAAGACAACCGAACAAAAAAATAAAGGAGATAATATCGGATATGTAAAGTGTTTTTTACAAAGGAAAACAGATTGATGTGATACAATGTATATGTGCTTGTTTGTTTCATTCTGATGGTGGTGGATCAGCTCCAGTTGCACGGCTGACCTTTGGACAAGGTGACAGGAGTGATGACCCTTGAGCTGAGTCTTAAATGACAAAAATGAATAAGCAATTGGCATATCCAGACAAAGGGCTTTCCAAAAAAAAGGGAACAGCTGGTACAAAGACCTAAAGACTAGGAAAAAAATGTTGATGTGTTCAAAGGCAGCAAGAAAAACGGCATGGAGTGAAGGTTGAACTTGAGGGAAGTGTTGTAGGAGAAAGAAAGGATGAGTCCATGTCCAGGTTGGTAAGTTTGAAAGCTCTGCAAAAGAGTTTGCTATAATTCTAAGAGTAGCAGTGAGCTGCAGGAAAGTATCAGGTAGGAGGATGAGTCATGTGTTCAAAAATAATTCTGACTTTATTGGGGAAAGTAACTTATAGAGGAGCAAAAATAAGAAGAGATTGGTTACAAGGCTATTGCCTATTACTGAGGGAAGAAATAATGGTGTGTTGGATTGGGTGGTAGAGGCAGAATTGATCAGACATAGATTCAGGACATATCCCAAAGATATTTTTGAAAGGACTTGCTGATGAGTTGAATGTGGAGAAATGGGAGGAGAGGTAGGATCATGCATGATTTAGAAGCTTTGTCTTGAGTACTCTCTGTGGAGGTGGTAGGTTAGTTGCTGTGGGGAAGGCTGAGTGTGTTGGGAAGTGAGAATCAGGAGCTTTCTTTTGTATATACAAGGTTTAAGATGCTAACTTGACATCAGAGTAAATATTTCAAGTAAGTAGTTGGATATATGACTCTAGAAATTTAGAAAGAATTTAGGGCTAGAATTTTAAGTTTCCAAGTTTTCAATACTTAGAAGGAATGCACACTCAAGGAGCTGCTGGAAATGACCTAGGACATGAAGGGTGATAGCACAATAAACTAAGAGCAAGATGACAGCAAAGGAGACAAACACAGACTGTCCTAGACAAGAGGAGGGAAATCAAGTCACATGATAGTACAGCTAAGAGATGAAGGAGAGAATGGTCAACGAAATATCAACAAACAAGTGACCAATGGGTGGCAATGGGGGTCACCAATGCCCATGATGAGAGCACTTTTAGTGGAGTAGAGGGAACAGAAATTTGATGGAAATGAACTAAAGAGAGAACGTGAGGTAAGAAGATGGAGTGGACTAATATAGATCATTTTTGTAAGTTTTTAGTTTTATTCTTTTATTGTTTTGCTTGTTTTAACTCAAAAAAGTATCCAAAATAAGCTTGTAGCTGGAGACAGGAAGTCTGGATTCAAGGGAGATGTTTTGATTTTACTTTTAAAGACCAGACATTATGGTAGATACATTTATATGCTGATGGGAGATATTAATAATGCACCAAATGAGAAGATACTTGCTGGTTCCTTCCTTTCAAAGGAAGAAAATAAAACTAAGTGACCTGGAGGGAAAAGGTACTGCAGTGGGAACTGTGCATTGCAAGATCAACCTGCAGCTGCATAGCCCTTCAGAGATGACATTGCAAATGATGGAAACACTCTGGAGACTGAGGGTTCTGGAGTAAGAGATTTTAAGGCCAAGCTTAGAGATACATACAAGATACACACGGCACAACACAATTTTATCAACAAAGCAAAATTTTCTGGTTGAATTCATCCGTTAATTCCTTGATTTAATTCATTCATTCAACAAATATACATTAATTACCCAGTATGGTCCATTTACTCTGTTAAATACTGAGGGTAAAATAGTAAAATAGACATGGTTCCTATCTTTTTAAATACATTTCATTATATTGCTTAAATGTGGACCATGTCTTATGATACACATACATGCATGCACTAAAACTATATATATTTTATATGTATAAACACTAAAACTATTTATAAATACATAAATATATGTAATATATATAACTATATATAGTTTTATATATAAAACTAAAACTATATATATTATATCTATAAAACTATATATGTATGTGGCATTATTTTGGCTGAAATTCTGTAACAGCCTATGTGTCCTAAAATTTGAAAATGTGGATTTGCTTTAAATGCTTAGATCTAGGACTAATTATCATAGGCACTCAACTCCAGATTACTATAGGAATTATTTGGATAGCCCATGAAAATTGAAAAGTTTGTCAAACTCTTGAATCTTAATCTAAATAATAAGGGACCTCAAAGTAAATTCAAGATGGAAATACATAAATATATGTTACCTGGGCTGTGAGGCCTCTTCTGCCAAACATCCTTAATGGCAGAGGTAAGAAAGAGCTACACTATTCATTCATACACATTCACTCATTCCCGGTCAGGGGAGATGTACCACCTAGGTTTGGTCTGACTTCAGGGAGGTCCACAGAGTGCATACAGTCTCACTGTGACCAAGAGTGAAACTGAATCTCCATGAGCAAAGGGGGTGAAGAGCTTGAGAAGCCAGTAAAACTTAGGGATGTTATTTCTGGTGGCAACTGGGAAACTTAGGGAACTTGAGATCACCTGAGGCCTGTCAGTATCTACGATGTGCCTGTTGCAGATTCTTGATTTTCTGATGTTGCTTTCTCGGATGTAATTTTATGCTGAAAAAAAAATAACTGGTGTCTCTTGTTCAAGTGCCTATTCATAACCACATACACGGTTATGAAATGATTAATCAGCAACCTGTGCTGCTGGGGCCAAGGAAAGTGTGTGTAGTGGAACACAGGGTGAACTATGCGAAGTGATTTGGAGGAACAGAAGGGAGGCTATTCAAAAGCCAACTTGCAACTGGAAGTTTTCGTTCTCTGACAAAAATAATCCTGTTTCCAAGGCCCTTCTGTACTCTTCTGTGTAGACAAAGAAAGAAACATTTCTACTTGCTAATTTGAAACTTGCTGTAGCAGAGAGGTATATTACTGTAGTTTCCAAAATTATAAGGGTACATGCAGAGGTTAACAGGAACAACAAGGTTAGAGCTGCAGAAATAACTACAGTCCACAAAAGTCTTTGCTGTTAGAATAACAGCAGCCATGGGCATGAAAACGAGAAGACATAAAACATAATGAAATATCAGAGACAATCACCAGCACAGTAATGAGAGAGTCTCAGAAAGAAAAATGTGAGGATAGAGAAAAAAAAGAGACACAGCTCCTTTAGCTACTGTTCTCTAACTCTTTACCTAGTCTCTATCAGAGGACAGATAACACCAGTATTAACAACATAAAATCTGCAGAGTATTCATGATGACTAGTTCTTTCTGTATATGTCTATAGATATGTGTCACACTTCATCTTGTTATCCGTTAGTAAATTGTACTTGTTTTGCCATAGTATGGGTCAGTTATTCTCAAATGTGCCTTTAAAAAATAAGACATTGGCTAAAACCAACACTATTTTATTTTATAAAATACTTTGTTTATTTGGTAATGAAGTTTGCTTTCTTCTTAGATACACTTATTATTGAAATGCATTTATTGGCTGGACGTGGTGGCTCAGGCCTGTAATCCCAGTACTTTGGGAGGCTCAGGCAGGAGGATCTCTTGAGCTCAGGAGTTCCAGACCAGCCTGGGCAACATGGTGAAACCCCATTTCTACTAAAAGTACAAAAATTAGTCAGGTGTGGTGGCATGTGCCTGTAATCCCAGCTATTGAGGCCGGAGAATTGCTTTAACTCGGGAGGTGGAGGTTGCAGTGAGGCAAGATGGTGCCACTGCACTCCAGCCTGGCGACAGAGCAAGACTCTGTCTCAAAAAAAAAACCAAAAATTATTTATTAAATGCCTAATTGGAGAACTCTTTGGACTCCTACCTACCAAAAACTAGTAATTTAAGAATATATTAAATTAATACAATTTACCATTTTTAAGTTTACCTCCTCACTAACTCTTCCACAATGTTTATAAGAGTTTTGAATATTCATTTTGTTCAAATAATTGATAG